CATTGCAGCTCTTTCGAACACATAAAAAATGACGTTAAATTTTGAAAACTGCTGCTGAAGTTCAAACTTTAAAAATGCCTGTCTTAAAAAATAATTGATTTGGCATCACTTCAACTTTCATACTGATAAAATTGTATGATTATGTGGTTTTCATTTTTGCAAAAAATTTCTTACATTAATACTGTCTAACTTTATATTGAAACCGCAAAGTTGGGACATGTTTGCTGAAACACCCTGTACCAGTGAAGGGCTTCAAATTTACATATTTACCTTAAACTCAGGGCCAACGCCGACCGTGACACGGGGCCTCGGTTTTTAAGGTCTCATCCAAAGGACCAGAAACTTTCACTTCAAAATGCCGAGCGCTTAGCGAAGGAACAGTCACTACCTTTTTTTTTATCGACTTAGGTCAGTTGCAGACCTGATTCGAGCATACGACCTTCCGATCACGGAGCGAGCAATGATAAATATGCAGACGTGAAACGTTGTAGTTACAGGTTTCTGTACTGTATCACTAGATCAATTTGTTCTAAATGAAAAGATCAGACGCTTTAAGTCCCCAAAAATTAAAATTGCGTCATGTTTATATCCTGCATGTCTAAGGAAGGTTACAAGAAACATGTCCCGACTTTTGATATTTATTTACTTGCACAATAATGAAACATTTACAAATTTATAACTTTATTTTATAGTACAACATAATTGACAACATAATTGAGAAATAAACAATATAAAACAACCTCATTATGAGGTTTGATTACATCTTCAACAGAAAAACTCCAAAATCATGAAATACTAGTGTACAACATTTTGAAAAAAAGAAGTACTTACATAAGAATCATCTTTCTAGGAAACAGACTTTTCAAATGATGTCAAAATTAAAGCCATACAGGACTTCAGAGATAAAATAAGGTTGATGACGGAAATCATTGTGGCTATTTCAACACATGAAAATATTACGTTTAATTAAGAACTACTGCTGAACTGTCCAAACGTCAAAAATGCCAGCATTACTTCAACATTCATATTGATAAAATTTTTAATTCAATCTTTTAAAGACACACAAACGTTATATATATATATATATATATATATATATATATATATATATATATATATATATATATATATATATATATATATATATATATATATATATATATATATATATATATATATATATATATATATTCTTTCTGGAAACGACCATTTGATTCTAAAAGAGGGTAGGGGAATTTATTTCTGTTCATGTCCTCACAAAACAGAATACATTGCATTTTTATTTCTAGGATGACAAAAGATGGTTTTTATTTCTTCTTCGCTGAAAAATGGTTGCAAATTAAAGCTAAAACAGGAGCAAGGATGTGTCCAATCTCAAACTCAAAAACTGTCTTGCTTATTTCTTAAATCTAACCACCTTCAAGAAGCAAATGATTGTCCTCTAATTATTTCCTTTAAAAAATGACAGAAAACCCTGATTTATATAAATGCCAAACTATTTCGAAATTAATATTATTTGTCAATAACACTTACTCCGCGATTAAGAGTAGCTTAAATGGATTGAAAATAAATTTCGAACAAGAATTTCAATCCAAGGTTTTCTCAATACGTCCGCGCCGAGTTGTTCACGTCCATTTAATTGAATATCAACAAATGTTTTAACTTTAATAGATGGAAATGACGTAAGCATATTTCCAATCTTGCCAGTTAATGTTCCGCAGTCTTATCGCATTTAGATAGGTATAAACATTCAAGAATGTAGGCCCCTAAATGACCAATATAGAGAATGTTTGTAATTTCTTACAAGATATATTGAAAACTTGTCAAAACTAATTATTGTTCTTACAAAGAATATTGATAATTGAATTTTATTGATTTTATTTTTTTTTCCGGTGTGTCCGTTCAGAAATAAGTTCAAACAAATTTCATAGGTGTTTTGTGCTACCTAAGCCAAGTTACATTGTCATTCTCTATCGATAATTATCGTTCCCGCTACGCTACCACATATACACCTTTATAAGGGTTTGGTATACAGTATTCTTTGAGAAATTGTATTTGGTGAACAATGATTATGTTAGTATTTTATTTATCGGTGAAAAGGTCATTATCAATCAATCATCCCCTCGAAGAATTTTTTTCCTGTTTTTTATTTGCACGCTGCATAACCGAGAAAATAAATCTTTTTAAGGAAAGTTTAAAATGAAACGATAAAATATCATTTCTATTGATAGTTTCTTTCATTTATTATGATTTTAACTTATGATGTATACCTTTTATAACTTCTACAAGAATCTTGTACAGCGAGCGATGACAAAGGTTTCGGGAGCATAGCGGAAGAGTACTGTGGATAGAGAATGAAATACTGCAAAATCTGGATTGTGACAGTTTTCTCTCTATAAACCACAAAGCGGCTTATAAAAAAAGTGATACGTGATTGATACATTTTGACGTACAAATTAAGTCATTACACTGCTTGAAAAAACACCTTTACAAAACTTTACTTGCAAAGTAAATCTCATTAAAGGTGTTCTAAAAAGCAAGGTCATCTTTGTATTAACTTTACAAAAAGTAAAGGTGAAAAGGTAACCTTTACTTAAAAGAAAAGGTAATTAAATTTAACCTTTCACCTTTAATGCTACATTAAAGTTGATATATATATATATATATATATATATATATATATATATATATATATATATATATATATATATATATATATATATATATATATATATATATATATATATATATATATATATATATATATATATATATATATATGTATGTATGTATATGAAACTTTTTTAAATCCTTATTTAAATACTGGCTTTTTTGTTTAATACACTCGTACTTAAGATTTCAACAAATGGTTTTTGACTTTATATAAATAAGTATCTGATGTGTCTTTTGTGTTACCCCCACCCCATTTTTGTTAAACTCAATCTTACTAAAAATACACAAATTTTCAAGCGTTATATCAATTTCCAGTTGTATTTAGTATTATACATTTATTGACTGGGTTCGAGGGCAACATGCGTTTTGTCGGACCCAAGAACCAAACTGTTTGCCTGAGGCCGTTAGGCCGAAGGCAAACAGTTTGGTTCGAGGGGTCGACAAAACGCATTTTGCCCGAGAACACAGTCAATAAATGTTTTGTTATACCTTTTAATTATTTTTTTTGACATACATGTATGTTGAACACCAACGAATGCAAATGAGATTTAGCTAACCCACTATGTGACGTGAGCGGTTGAACATCTCATCGACAGGTCCAATATCTCACTCAGCGGTCAAACATCGATTTTTTTTATGCCCGCTCAGTAAAACATTAGAAATGTTAGACTTTTATTAGTATTGATTTATATAGGAACAAATTTTTAAAGGTATAACACTAGAGATTGTCATCTACAAAATATAAAAATTTATACTATTTTTGTATATTGTAGACGGACAATCAAAAATGGTATCAGATATCAGAATATAGATATAATAAACTTTCAAATTTCCCATGACTTAACCTTTAACTTATCTGATTTGCTGATATCTGATAGATGGAGAGCTCTTTTTTATTTGCTTTTAGTGTAGATATATTGAAACCTTTTCTGTTGTAATTTCTGCTTCATAAATATCTATCAAAAAATGTTACAAACATTACAAGATTACATCTTTTACTAGAATAGGCAATAAAATGACAAAGAATAAAATTAAAAAGGTTAAAATACAATACATTATTTATACTTTATGGTGCATGTACATGTGTTAAAACTTTTCAGTTTAAATGGAACTAAAAATGTCATACTCAGTTACTACTTAAGACCACTGATGAGAAACTACACAGCATAAATCAGGCAAAGTACTAGTATTTCCAATTCAAACTATTAAAGGCTATCTAATGAGTATTTATGTACAAGTTAATAATGTTGACATCTTGTAAGCATAATGGTGCAATTTACATATTCACAAAATTAAGGAAAAAAAATTGCTGAAACACCTATTAGAATATAGGTTCAGATGTAGTTTTGTAAGATGCATAAGTAAATGCATGTGTCCAGCTTCACGAAGTGAGCCTGTTTGTGCTTGACTTTATACTTTGGATTAAATGTTACATGTGTATCGAGTCTGTGGTAGGAGATTATGTTTGCATTGTGTCCATCATCACACACCTTGGAAAATATGTAACTGGTTGTGGTAGATGCTTGAGTGTTTGCGTATGTGTCCAGCTTCACACATTTTCATGTATGTGCTTGACTTCACACGCCTTGGAAAATATGTAATTGGTTGTGGTAGATGCTTGTGTGTTTGCATATGTGTCCAGCTTTACACATTTTCACGTATGTGCTCGACTTCACACGCCTTGGAAAATATGTAATTGGTTGTGGTAGATGCTTGTGTGTTTGCATATGTGTCCAGCTTCACACATTTTCATGTATGTGCTCGACTTCACACGCCTTGGAAAATATGTAATTGGTTGTGGTAGATGCTTGTGTGTTTGCATATGTGTCCAGCTTCACACATTTTCATGTATGTGCTTGACTTCACACGCCTTGGAAAATATGTAATTGGTTGTGGTAGATGCTTGTGTGTTTGCATATGTGTCCAGCTTCACACATTTTCATGTATGTGCTCGACTTCACACGCCTTGGAAAATATGTAATTGGTTGTGGTAGATGCTTGTGTGTTTGCATATGTGTCCAGCTTCACACATTTTCATGTATGTGCTTGACTTCACACGCCTTGGAAAATATGTAATTGGTTGTGGTAGATGCTTGTGTGTCTGCATATGTGTCCAGCTTCACACATTTTCACGTATGTGCTCGACTTCACACACCTTGGAAAATATGTAATTGGTTGTGGTAGATGCTTGTGTGTTTGCATATGTGTCCAGCTTTACACATTTTCACGTATGTGCTCGACTTCACACGCCTTGGAAAATATGTAATTGGTTGTGGTAGATGCTTGTGTGTTTGCATATGTGTCCAGCTTCACATTTTCAGGTATGTGCTCGACTTCACACGCCTTGGAAAATATGTAATTGGTTGTGGTAGATGCTTGTGTGTTTGCGTATGTGTCCAGCTTCACACATTTTCATGTATGTGCTCGACTTCACACGCCTTGGAAAATATGTAATTGGTTGTGGTAGATGCTTGTGTTTTTGCATATGTGTCCAGCTTCACACATTTTCATGTATGTGCTCGACTTCACACGCCTTGGAAAATATGTAATTGGTTGTGGTAGATGCTTGTGTTTTTGCATATGTGTCCAGCTTCACACATTTTCATGTATGTGCTTGACTTCACACGCCTTGGAAAATATGTAATTGGTTGTGGTAGATGCTTGTGTGTTTGCATATGTGTCCAGCTTCACACATTTTAATGTGTGTGCTCGACTTCACACGCCCTGGAAAATATGTAACTGTGGTTGTGGTAAATGCTCGAGTGTATGCACATGTGTCATGCTTCAGAGAGAGGTTTTGTGTGCTCTTTTCTAGAAGATAATGATTATTTAAATATACTCCAAATACATCCTCTAAAGAAATGGATAATCATAATGAGTTACATACTAAGTTCCTCAGTGCATAATATACACAATTTTACTGAAATTAAACTTGTGCAAAAACTCTCTTGCTGAATAACTTTCATTATTATAAATGCTTGAATGTTCATCTATAAATTTTCAGATATTTTCTAGTCAGTGTATATATTCTTGATCACGATGGCATCCATATTTGATTCCCCATCTCTGTCATCTTTTCTTGGTCACCAATTAATTCAACAGTAGGATAGGTACTCAGATCTCTCTGGTGTTGGACAAAAGGAGGTGCTAATAATAAACATAATCTTCGAAATTATAGATAATAACATCCATTTCTTTTCCAGGTTTGCATTAATTAGTTATCTTTTGAAATTAAAGCACATCTGCAATATCCTTGAAAGCTTGCCAAGATACATAAAATGTTTGTAGCATGCTTTAACTACTTTATTTTTGGAAGTTTAGAATATTAGAAAAGCGAGTTCAAATATAAAAATAAGATGTAAAAGATCTTAATAATGAAGATTCATTTACACAATGTGATAAACATTGAAGTAAATTCCTCACCTGGCTTGCTCGTAATTTATCTTCATAATGGAGTTGATTCTGTGTTGATCACTTTCAATCAATTAAAATAACTTCTTCATCTCAAACTATCTGAAGGTCATCCATCTTCCCAACTGCCACTCACCCAAAGTGTACTGAGACTTCTGACCTGTATAATATCCAAATTCAAGATTAGAATAAAAATAAAAAATCCCTTCACCATATTGGTCTCTTTAAAAAATGTGAGAAAATAATTTTAAATACTTTTCTAAACATGGAATAAAGTAGTGAATATCTAACAATGTTTTAAAATATTTTGATCTCTGTACAGTGATAACATGAAAAAGTCATGTCCCTTATATCTGAGAAAAAAAAAATTCCATTCTTAAGGACATTACCCAACATGGAAATAATGTACATTTGTCTCTGGCACAACCAATCCACAAGAGACCTTTCCATACTTAGCACCATGCATTAGCTCTCCACTCTTTGTTTCTACAAAAGATAAATTATGAAAAGGTAATTTTTCGACAGCTAAGTCAGATTAATTATTTTCCAGCCAGTGATGAACAGAATATTTGATTTCCTTAATAATCAGGGACAGATTATTCATGTTTATCCATAATGAACAAAGTTTGACCCCCCCTTATTGCCACTACAAAAGGAAAAAAATAAACTGACTCAGAAACTCTTATTTCAGTGAGGAAAAGGCAATAATGGCATCAGACAAGAAAAGATTATTATTCCTTTTTTCAGTTGAGGTGAGATTATATCTCTTTACATTTTGGAGGTTAATATCTTTTAACCCCCCCCCCCCCCCGCATCAGACCAAAAATAGTCGCCTCTTTATTTAGCTGTCCTAAATCTACAACAAAATTTTTATTATGATGATATTTTTTTTCATTTTAATTTATTATAACCTGACACTGATACACAGTGGTGGTAGATGCAACAAATTAAGAGGAGACCCCTCTTCCCTCCCTCCCCTAGATGTTTCGTCTGAAATGTTAAACGACTGTTGTTCAATATCTTGAAAGACAGAAAACAGTTATACACAACAAATAAGCACATTTTCATTACCTTGCAGTCAGTGTGGAGTGACACACGTAAACAACATCCCGCAATCTCTTTCAGTCTTTGTTTATTCTTGGCGGAATTTTGTGGCCTTGTAGACTGGTTCCCATACATTGCAAGTGCCCTGAATAAGTCATACGCTTATTAGTTCTGTTTATAAGAGGTAATATCAGTAAAATGTTCCGTTCATTTGACAACCTTTACTTTAAAATACTGAAATATATATTATCATATTATACAGATGTTTTTCACCTCAGTATTGTGTAATCCTCTTCATCCAAGTCTTCTCGAATACAAACCGAACGATCGACTTTTAATAGTAACCCAAATATGGCACTGTGTATTCGGTTGAATAGCCAATCATTTCAAATCAAGTTGAGCGGGTCTCATCGGATTTTCTGGTATTTTTGACCAAAATGTGCAACAATTGATCAGTTGATTTGATACCTTTTCATCTACCGGTAGATTTAAGGAGGTTATTGCTTGGAAAACTGCTCGAGCTCCCGGGCTGGCATGCACTGCAGGTTTGTTTACGTTTTCCATCTGTTTTCAGCATACATTGTGGAACATTGAAACTGATGAAAGTCAGGAAAAACTACGCTAAATATGTATTTTAGATAAGTTACTTGATAAATTGGGAATAATGTTCCATTTTTTTCTGTAAAGGATCATGGATTAAACAAGACCAAGAAAAACAATTCTAGCAGCTGTCTAGGTCACAGTTTTAGAATGTTTAGCAGTTTACATTAGTGCTAGAAAAAAAAAATAGAAGCCAGGGTAGGGGAAATGTTTTTAATAGAGGGCAAGTTAGTTTATATTTTATAGATATTATTTTGTATTCTAAACCATGTCCATTTTTCAAAAACAGGTACAGTGAAATCAATTATGCAGGTTCTTGAAGAAAAAAGTCATGGATGAGAACAATGTATGATTTACCAGACCAAGGGATACCAATGTTTTTTTTACGATACTTGTACGTATTAGTTTTAAAAAAAATCAATAAATGGTATCATTAAAATGTTATTTAAACAATTATTTACATTATCAATTGCTTGACTTGTTCGGGAGTCAGTATAATTATACATTTCTGTTTTCAAAAAATGTGTTATTACTTTTTCCAGGCTCCAGCTACTCAGCTTACTGTGAGAGAGTTAACGCCTTATTGACAGATCTTTCATGAAGAAGAAACACTTGAGAAGGGTTCAATAGTTTAATTTTATAGATGGCAAGTATTGCTTGGACCTAAAGTATTCTTTAAGGACATTGGCAAGTCAGGGCTTTCCGGAGAAAAAAGCTTTAATACATGGGTTTTTTAAATTTGTAAAATAGTGATTGAGAGTGATCTCCCGTGTAGAATTCTCTAAGCGGTGACAACCAATAAAGCGTATGTTATAGAGGTAAACAAAAGCACGTGTACTTCCTTCAACGGGTAGAATCATCTATACAGCAAGAAAGAAAAGTAGTAATGGCTTTGTTGTACATTGTATTCAGGGACAAAGAGCAAAAAGGTCGTCATTTACCATAGTTATGCTCAGTATGCTGGGAAGGGCAAAGATGTGACATATGCTGAGAGGTAGGTCGACCATGCCGACTGAGAACAGTTCTTAGGTCGTGTGAAGGAATCAGCATTTAGTAATTACGAATAAAAGTTAAAGATAAATCCATGCCAATATTTTTATGACAATGTGTTTCAATCAATTCAGTCAATTACATGATAAGAACAATCAACCAGTCTCTTGACCAATTTTAGCTGTTAAGGGACGCAACTCAAAAATGATGATCGGTGCCGGTATATCCATGTCTTGTTTCTACATCTACATTTTCAACCAAAATATCTAGAAGTCATAGGAAATGAAGTTACAATAATGTATATAATACAAAAACTGTATGAAATAAATGTGTTTTGAAGAAATATTATGGTGAAAAATTATGTAGGTCCCTTTTATCAACATTTTACATAGGAAATGCATTAAGAATTGTAAAAACACTACTTTGACAAAATCTAAAAAAAGAATGCTGGATTGGTAGGTAAATCGATCCAGAATATAGCCTATTTAGTACATTTAAACCTACTCAAAAGTTCTTGAAAAATTCTATACAATAGCCAGGAACCTTGCCAATGTCCTTAATTGTGAAGAAAACAAACATAAGGGTGTTCGGCAATTCATAGCTATTGACTGTGATTGCATTGTGTATTTTTAAAATCATTCTTTGGTATGCTTCAAACTCAAATGTATTTATGAAAACATTGACTACATTTCTCCAGATGTATGAAATGCTTATCAAAATATGAATTCCATTTTAGCATGTTATCTTCAAAATGAGGGACCTCTCAAATTTACAATTCCAAGATCAGGAAATAATTCATGAGCAGTAACATGCTACTGGGAGAAAGGTACATATATCCTAAACCATAACTTGAGTATCACACTATAGCTCGATAAGCAGCAACTATTGGTCCTTTTGTTACCTGATTACTAAGAAGGAAAATGGAGTTAGGCCAAATAAAAAAAATATGTGTGGTTCCGGTCACCCGACCGTCCCTATTTTATACCCCCGACCCTAAACTTTTTTTGGCAATTTTCATATTTTTTCCGGAATTTTCCCTGATTTCTATCAATGGCTCCGGTTTAAGCTTTAGTTTCAGCAATGACGGCCTCCTTGCAAAACATAGTGTAAGTGTTTAATAGTATTAAATCCAAAGCAAGCTAGCATACAGGTGTCCCTACCAATATTGAGTAGTATATTATCACACCACATCTAAATGCCACTTGCAAAAGAATGATAGGTATTATCTAGAAAAATTAAGAAAATCATTTTGTTTAAAAAAAAAAAAAAAAAAAAAAACCTACCTACCTACCCTAATTTTTTTTGGAGGTGTAACCGGAACCACACATATTTTTTTGTTTGGCCTTAATTATATGTGTTCAGTAATTATCCATAGATACTGAGGCCCGTACTTTTTCACAAATTATCTTGCAAGTAAGACAAATTCCAATTCTGCAAAAGTATCTTAGCTACAGAAGGTCACGAGAAATCTTATATTACTCCTACATTAGTATATTTTGTAAATAATCCTTTCAAAAGAAAAATTAGGTAATGATAAACAAAGAAATTACAGTTAAATTTTAATCTTATGGGTAAGATAAGGGCTAGTGGCCCAGTCCATTTATATCATAAAATAAGTTAATAACAACATGTTCATCTGTTTGAATCTGTCTTATTTAATAAGATTAACATTGTCTTTCTGGTAAAAATAAAGGCTGACATTAATGGTTCAAAATATTTTCTTTTTGAGGTTAAAGGTCATGTATGAAATTTTTATCTATTAATATGGTTGCATCTTGTTTCAATTTTAATTAGTCATGATACTGTGAATACTGATATCACAGTTTATTTGAATTTATAACACAGATGCCTATGAAAATATTCATATTCATGTCACTGAATATATATATATATTTTTTTTTCTTTTAAGGAAAATAGTAGAAGACTGCCTACATGAGAATAAAAGTTTTGGACTCTGAAAAGGAAGATGTGACAAAATATATATTTGCACAGTTGTTGATTTCCATAGAAACACATGTCCAGTAACAAGAAAGCGGAGTGCAGTTTCATGTCAATTCAAATCTTTAAATTCAAGGATGAACAATTGGTTCTTTATAAAACAAAATGACATGTTTGAAAAGGATTTTGGTGAAATGTTCTCTGTCCTGGATACTTATTTATGTGTATGGGATTTGCAGGATAGACTATGAACAACAGATACTGTCACGAAATTTGATGTTTTTGATTATATGTTTGTATAAAAATGTTTGGTATACACAACTGTAGTAATAAACAAAGTTTAATTCAATCTGTTGTTACTTAGTATATTAAGGAAGGAAAAGCTTATTTATCATATGCACAAGCTTTATTCAGAAGAATGGAAAACAGTAATTATTAACTTTTGTGGCTATTAAAGATGGTATTTAATTAAATTTAATATTTGTAATTATCAGATTTAATGTACCCCAAATACTGTGTTTAATGTTTGTAAATATTAACTTTACTTTTTTGTAAAGTCAAGAAAAAGTGGGACATTACATCATATTTAAGTGCATGTAAAGTTAATGTAAAGGTTACCTTTTCCAACTTTGACTTTTTTCAGAAAAGCCAATTAAAGGCATTGTAAATATTAAATTTACATTATCTTTACTTGTTTTGTAAAGCCAAATTTTCATGCAGTGATATTGTGACGTAAATGATATACATAATCAAACCATATATTTATACATATATGCGAACAACTAGAAGTAGAGCACTTTCTCAACTTAAACAACAATTATTAGAATAATAATTGTATTTACGTATTTAATGCGGTAATTTATTTAGAGCTTTTCAGTAGGATTTTATGCTTGTAAATTGTGAAAATTCTTAGATCCACGCCTTGGCTGATGTATTAATAGCTTCTAGCCAAGGATGGTGTAAGGTCACGTGGTCAGCTCAGCGGGTCATTCAGTCGTATTTTGATACCCGCACGCTGACCACCGTTTACACGAGGCACGTCTATTTTGAAGATGTTACAATTTCTATGATTGTTTAACTGAGCTAGACGTGCCTTGGATTTCTGTCGAGATGAAATTTAAAAAGAATAGGAAACAGCAATGTATTGTACACGTTGTAATTAAGAGCAGTTTGTGCTGTGTGGATTTTATTCGTTATTGTTTTCTTGGCCTATGGTGTGGTGGTACATGTCCGCGGGTTATTTACAAAGATATTAGGCCCTACTGTATGATGCATTTGGTGTATCAGTATTTTTCTGACGATATGAACTTTATTCATTTTGTGATTATGTGCACTCCACACGATTTTATGAGCAGAGATTCATTAGAAGAGTGCTAATATAATATTCCACGGAGCTTTATTTCATTGCGTCGCCAAATGTAGTTTTCAGGAAAGGATTTCACTCAGAGTATTTTTTACTGATTGAACGAAACTTTCGGAGACATTTATATCTCTTTTTCGATCAGCATGATCAGTGGACACAGAGTTTGATCGGCAAGAAACTGTGTTAACTTGCTTTGCCTTTAGCATCCTGCAAGGTTCGGCTACAAGCATGACTATTTCACGTCTAGGGCCACAGCGGGTGATCCTGAACCTCGACGACTTGGGCGTTTTAGGTCCAGATGGCGTACACATGTGCTGCTTTACCACATGGATAAGGAAGTTTGCCGTCACCAGTGTCCTGTTCACATTCAATTCATTGAATAAGGCCAGTATTATATTTACTCTTAAATATAGGTGCGTTATATTACATATGAACCTTTTTGGGTTTCCTAATGGTATTTATGTCTATAAGTTATCACTTTCATTTATTGCAAACAAAGGCACTGCTTCAC